CCCGCCTCGCCCGGCCCCGGGCGCCCTCCCCCGGCGCCACCCGGCGCCCCTTCCGGAGCCGCCGACTCACCGTGCGGCCCGCCTCGTTGTTGTGCAGGTTCATGAGGAAGCGCAGGTCCCGCCCCTTCTCCCCGGAGTCCACGAACTCCCGGCCGAAGAGGCGGCCGAAGTCGATGTTGTCGCTGCAGCCCCCCCAGTGCCAGTCGGGGCCGCCGGGGCCGCGCCGCCGGTAGTCGCACGTGCAAGACTCGATGGAGCCCTCGGAGCAGGAGCGCGCCACCGAGTGGGTGACGCCGGCGGAGGTGATGGCGAAGATGAACGCCGTTTCCCGACAGCCTGGGGGCGAGGAGCGCGGGGTCAGCGCGAGGGGCGCGGGCCAGCGGCACCCCCGGCCCCGGAGTCCCGCGCCCCGGCTCCGCCTTGGGAATCCCCGCGAGCTGGGCCCGAGGCGGGGTCGGGAAGCTGTGCCCCGGCTCCCGTGGAGAAAGCTGGTGCGCGGGAATGCGCCCGTGAGCTCTCTCCTGCTCAGGTCCTGCTGGAATTCTTCAGAGCGGTTTTGGGCTCTAAAACGGAAGTGGGGCACCCCCCAAAAAAAGCCTGAAAAGAGGAGTGGGAAGACGGCATCCTGCAGACCTTTCCGCAGCCCAAAAGTGTGGCCCACGTGGGCAGCGTAGGCTTTGCTAGGTAGGAAGCGAGACGCACGCCCACGGTCGGCGCTCTGCGAGCAGCGAGGCGGGCGCGGTGGCCGGCTCGCGCAGACCGGAATTCCCGTTCTCCGGGCTGGAGCTAAGAAAAGTTGTGCGGCGTGCCCAAGGCTATGGCAGGAGAGCGCCTGGTGGAGGAGTCTGCCCCGGGCTGGCTGTGGGCTCCGGGCAGTTCGCAGGTTGCTCGGCTGACCCTGTGGGCGCCTGGGACACTTTCCCTGCACCGGCCCGCCTATGCCCCGGGGGTGACCCTGCCTTTCCCCTGGTCCCGGAAGCGTCGCCTTCCGGGCGCGCACCTCGGTTGACGATCTTGCCGAAGAGGTGGGGCCCAGGAGCAGTGGGGCAGTTCCAGCGGCGGTTCCGGAACTGCCACTTGCACTCGCGCACGGCGCTCTGCAGCCCACCGCTCACGCTGTGCAGGATGCCCGGGTTCTGACGGATCAGCCGCCGCTGCTTGCGGCTCAAGAGCTGCAAACTGGGCTCGAGCACCAGCTGCAGGCTCTTGGAGTCCGTCAGCAGGTTCGTGGAGGAGGCCACGTTCACGATGCCCCTGTCGGGACGCAAAGGGAGAGCTCAGGCTCGGCGAGAGGACCTGCACCCTAACCACAGAGGTCACGCCTTCGCGGTGAGGGCGCTGTACCCTGCCTGGGGCCGTGCACCTGGAGAAAGCACCGGGAGGCCGATAGAGGTAACCGCGGCTATGCGCTCCTGGCTTCGCCCATTTGAAAGAACAGGGCACTAGACTCTGGCGCGGCCAGGAGTCTGAGAGCCGCTCGGACCCCTGGGCCAGGGACTGGAAAGAGCAGAGCGGGCGATGGATGTCTGCTCCGGCCCTCCCGGCCTCCTCCTGGCCACCTCCTGTCCTCGCCAGCGCAGCGCGGAGGCGCCCTCCGCTCCCTCCCTTCTGAACTAGCACCTGGTCCTGTGCTCCCGCGCACGGGGAGGCTGGGACTGGGCCACACGGGAGCGGCGGTGGACGTGGGAGCGGACGTCTTCGGACGGAGCTCCTGCCCCATGTGGGCAGAGCTGGGGTGTCGGGGGCAGCCCGGGGGCCAGAGCACCCCTGCGTGCGGCACAGCGAAGTCCAGGGCAAGGGGCGTCTGTGGGCTGGCGGCCCCGAGCGTGGGAGCTGCTGGGGCGGCCCCTGGCTCTGCGCCCTAGGACAAGTGGAGACCCCACACCGGCTCACTTACCACCATCGCCCACTGCTGTTGGCGGCCAGGGCTGCGGGCAGGGCGGCCAGCGCCAGCAGCAGCGCGGCGGAAACCCAGCGGGGCAGCAGCGCCCAGCGCCCCATGGCCTGCCTGGCCTTGCCGGTTCCGGGCTG